TCTTGAAACTATCTTATCAACAGATAAAGTTTTCCCTATATGAACTTGATTTGGATCGGTCAATATGTATAGCAGTTATACGCATAGTGGGCCGAACTGAATAACATATTTGGTTGGCAGCTGGCAAATATAAGTAAAGCACGCGCCGTGCTTGTAAAGTGATTAAGCGGCTCCACGACACAGTGTGATGCGCTTTAAACGTCATAAGGTGAGCTCAAAGGAAGTCGTCTGCCAGTTACCTCTATATAAATAAAGCAGGCATAGTGCCTGGCCACTGATTAAGTGAGGTTTGGTTTGTAACCAGGTCTGTTTCCGGACCACCTGGTGCTTTAATTTTGACAGTTTCTGTTTTCTTACTGGCATAAGCTTGTATTATGCAAAAGTATCGCACACCTTTTGATTGCATAATAAATTAGATTAAATTGATTGTGAAAGTGTGTAGCGTTAGCAAGTTGCTTTGCATAAAAATCGATTGAGGTGTAGGAGTTAGTGTGTGAGCAAGTACATACATGTGTATACTTAGTTGCGCAGGCTTACGTTGAGCTTCTTCGCCAATTTATTGTATGTGCCTTACCATGAGGCAATTTGGTTTGAAATTAGGAATACGTAAAAAAACTAAAAAAGAAAGAAAAAAATTAATCAAGGATCTCGYCTTCATTTGATGTGATGATACGATGGTAAACCTGAAGTTTAGATYGATAAGTTAATTCAAAAAGAGTTATTGTTACGGTTCCCACTACAATCAGGTCTACATACCTACAACGGTACTTAAAATATCTCACCGCACCCATWCTCGAACTCGTAAATTATTTTTTTAGTACAAGATTACTGAACCGCAACTATAATCGCGATTGTTTTAGATTGCAATAAGGGTATAAGACAATTCTTCACTTCATGCTGTTTATATTCACTTACATTAAACCAAATCTATCCAGATTCTTCTTCTTCTTAATTGGCGTAGACACCGCTTACGCGATTATAGCAGAGTTAACAGCAGCGCGCCAGTCGTTTCTCCTTTTCGCTACGTGGCGCCAATGGGATATTCCAAGCGTAGCCAGGTCCTTCTCCACCTGGTCCTTCCAACGGAGTGGTGGTCTTCTGCTTCCCCCGGCGGGTACAGCGTCGAATACTTTCAGAGYTGGAGYGTTTTCGTCCATYCGGRCAACATGACCTAGCCAGCGTAGCCGCTGTCTTTTAATTCGCTGAACTATGTCAATGTCGTCGTATATCTCGTACAGCTCATCGTTCCATSGAATGCGATATTCGCCGTGGCCAACGCGCAAAGGACCATAAATCTTTCGCAGAACTTTTCTCTCGAAAACTCGCAACGTCGACTCATCTGTTTTTGACATCGTCCAAGCGTCTGCACCATATAGCAGGACGGGAATTATGAGTGACTTATAGAGTTTGCTTTTTCTTCTTTGAGAGAGGATTTTACTTTTCATACTTCTCAATTGCCTACTCAGTGCAAAGTAGCACCTGTTGGCAAAAGTTATACAGCGTTGGATTTCCAGGCTGACATTGTTGGTGGTGTTTACGCTGGTTCCAACATAGACGAAATTATCTACGACTTCAAAGTTATGACTGTCAACATGAACGTGAGAGCCTAGTCGYGAGTGCGACGACTGTTTGTTTGTCGTCTAGCCCTCGTTCACTGCCTGATCCATTTGTTTTGCTTCCTTGTCCAGTCTGGAGAAAGCAGAACTAACGGCGCGGGTGTTGAGGCCAATGATATCAATATCATCGGCATACGCCACCAACTGTACACTCTTCTAGAAGATGGTACCTTCTCTATTTAGTTCTGCAGCTCGAACTATTTTCTTCAGAAGCATGTTGATGAAGTCGCACGATATTGAATCGCCTTGTCTGAAACCTCGTTTGGTATCGAAGGGCTCGGAGATGTCCTTCCCGATTCTGACGGAGCTTTTGGTGTTGCTAAACGTCAGCTTACACAGCCGTATTAGTTTTGCAGGGATACCAAATTCATAAAGGCGGCTCCTTTTCGTGCTGTTGAAAACAGTTTTGAAATCGACGAAGAGGTGGTGAGTGTCGATTCTCCTTTCACGGATCTTTTCCAAGATTTGGCGCTTGGTGAATATCTTGTCGGTTGTTGATTTTCCAGGTCTGAAGCCACACTGATAAGGTCCAATCAGTTTGTTTACGGCGGGCTTTAATCTTTCACACAATACGATATTGAGGAGGCATATCCCACGGTAGTTGGCGCAGATTGTGGGGTCTCCTTTTTTGAAGATTGGGCATAGCACAGTTAAATTCCAATCGTTGGGCATGCTTTCGTCCGACCATATTTTACAAAGAAGCTGATGCATGCTCCTTATCAGTTCTTCGCCGCCATGTTTGAATAGCTCGGCTGGCAATCCATCGGCCGCCGCCGCTTTGTTGTTCTTCAGGCGGGCAATTGCTATTCGTACTTCTTCATGGYCGGGCAATGGAAAGTCTGCTCCATCGTCATCGATTGGGAAATCGGGTTCGGCTCTCCTGGCATTGTGCGTTCACTGCCATTCAGCAGGCTTTCTTTTTCTGTCTGCAAATGCGTCTCGCTTCCCTCTTCAACGCTCGGTATCTATCCCAGCCCACACGTGTTGTGGTCGATCGTAACGTTGCGAGGTAGGCAGCCTGTTTTCACTCCGCTGCGACACGYAAAACCAATGGTTTCGGTTGCAGCTATACGTAAGGAGTTTGAAATGCCGTCCCGAGTTGTTGACGAGTACTCGCAGAGWGCAGGAGTGCAAGCCAAGTAGAAAGGATGGAGTCATGTGTAGAAGTTCACGCAAGTGAAGAAAGTTCTCTGATCGCCATTCACTTTGGAATGGCCAGAAATGATTCTTTTACATGTGACTCAAGCAGCTCACGACTTCCGGTCTTTGATCCTCTGTTCTACCWRTGTACTTACCATAATAAAGGAATATGTACACTTATATGTTTACACATATATTTAGTTATCAATCAATAGTAAAAATACTGTGTTGTAGTGTTCAGTTAAAGGTCATTCAATTAAATGTGTACTGCGAGCAAATGTCCTTATCTTTGTACAAAGAAACATATACCTACTATCAGCTGTATGCCGTTCACATCCACGTAAATTGATTGTTAACAATGCCAGCTTACGAAAAATGACGAAAAATTAAATCGCTGTGCTGCTCATTTTTCTGCTTTCCGGTCATCTCTTAACGGTACTTATAGCCAATAAGCGGCTTTCAGCGAAAGCTCTTTAGTTGACCATTAGGCTTGTTCGAATTACCTACATACATAACCAAATTGTTGTTGGTTTGAACAGAGCACACCACAGCATGAGCTGCTCGAACAAATACCCAATGACTGATTTGGATATCTCTCTTTAAAAGACCGTTGACTCTTGTGATACTCGTTTGACTTTATTGTTGCTAAGAAATTTTGAGTTTGCTGAATTTCTTTTCACTGTAACTCTGAATCAGGTGAAAGTTAAATACTTGTATGATATAAAAAAAGTTTAAGGCGCATGTGAGGTGAATGAAATACTACAGGACGAAGCTTATGAATAATGAAATGAAGAAGARCTTCCAGGAGTTTCAGTAGTCTATAGTCTGATCTGAATACTATGCTAAAGAATCATTGGCCMATAAAATGTAAGCAAAGGTTGTTGGCTTCGCTAAATGTAAACAAARGGRTCATTGATCTCATAAAATGTAAACAAAGGTTGAGGACTTGGCTAAATGTAAAGAAAATTGTCATTGACCTCGCCAAAATGTAAACAAAAAAATTATTGACCTCATAATGTACACAAAGACCTCATTGACCCAAAGCAAACAAAGGTTCTGGACTTAGCTGAATGTAAACAAAGATTATGGACTTGGCTAAAACCAACCAAAAGGGTTATTGGCCTTTTAAAATGTAGACAGAGGCTTTTCACTTGTCTTATGTTAACAAGTGGTATTTTATTATATATATTATAGCTCATAGACTCACTTAGTTTTATTGCTAGATTCTATTCACTTCGCCGCAGCTAAATTAATTTAAAACCATCTTCAACTAATATATGCACATACATATATGTGATACATATAAACTCAATCGAAAGGCTAAATTTAGTATATTGCGTTTAAGTGGCAAACCTCAACCAGARGATCGCAATTCATTATACTAAGAATTGGAGGTTTAAATCATGGTCTAAGCCAACTCCTTTCATATTTAGCGCTAAACCGCATAATTCTGAAAGAAAAACGTTCGATTTAATTTCAAGAAAATATCACACATTTTGTAACATAAGAATGTCAGGGTAGTGTCACCAACGAATTTGRATGAAATTGATCAAGTAGGTCCAAAAATATGTCCTTTCACCTAAAGGTGAGCAGTCGCATGTCACTTTTTCCACTTTGATTCCAGCTTTTATTAAGACCTCTTGTAGCATTTTCAGTATACAAATTTATGTTTGATCTATTTTCGCACTGTTACTTATTCTCATAGYCATACAAATTATTGTGATGGTGATAAWCATTCATGACAAATAAAAATTCTAAGCAATGACCCTAATTATGTAACTAACCGCACGCTACGTATAAAAAGAAAAAAGTATTATATAGGTACATACATATATACATATACATATGTGCAGTAAGTGTGTATGACAATATTTCATTACTTTGGTCATGAATAAAAAAAAAACATTTTTGAAACATTGACCCTAATTACTCTCTTCTGTGCAGAATTTATGGCCAAAAGCAACGCACATGTCCTACTATCAAAAATGTGTTAAAAATATTTTATTATTGAGAATATTGGTATTTAATTTAATCGCGTGAATACACAAATATGTACATACAGTACAAGGGTATTCGGTGCAACCGAAATTATTTTTTTTTTTTTTTTTTTTTTTTTTTTTTTTGAGTAACCAAATGTAAAAGCTAAGTTAAAACTGAAATTTAGAACTAAAATATTATTTTATTATTTAAAAAAATAAAATAATCCCTGTTAAGCAGTAATTAATAATAAAAAATGCTAATCGATCATTCTTATAGATTTAAATTTTTTAATTTCATAAAAAAAATTTTCATATAAAAGTTAAACTTTAAGCTAAAGTACCTTAACCTAATGACAAAGTTTCTTTTATAGCAGTACCACAGAATAGAGCAAGCAGCACAGCAATAAAACACATCTCACATTTAACTACAACATCCAATCCTCTAAAGCTTCTGACTCAGGAAATAGAGTTACTATCGCCGGTACTTTCTGTGAAGTCGCCTGGTACTTGTTATCTCGTTGCACCTCTATGCATGTGGCCATGGCACGTACACTCAGTTGCGATATTTCATTGAGCCTGTAATCTGGCGATTTCGTCGGTGTTAGACAGTTCGTGGTGCGTTTGGTAGCGACATTTTGTACCAGCTGACGAGGACGCATTTTCAAAAAACTGGTAATCGAAGGCTGGAAATTGCGTTGCCTCTTCTTAAGGTTATCATATTTGTACCACTTTTCTGGTATCTTCGGTGTAATGCATGGATTACCCTGCCGCACGGGCACAGTACTGATCACCTCACGGGGCTTTAGATATGTTACGAATCGTTCCAACTCCGCATGACTCGAGTGTTCAGAGTACTCAATGCCTACGACATTTATTTCACCACGCAGTTGTGGTTTGCTATTCTTCTCCCAGCCGGATGGTCGGAATGCCAGCATCGCATCATATTGCTGTTTAAATGGTCGAAAGTAATCGACCAGCGACTATTGAGAAAGTACGTACGTTGCATTAAAATCATATATCCATAATGTTAGAAATATTGTTTATTTACCTGATAGCTGACTTTTGCAATCGATATCACATGCATTTCTGCTTTATGTGGATCATCAGACAACAAATCACGCACTTCATCTAAATCCATTGTTTGCAGAGCTTTCAATCGATTCTTCTCCGTCCATACTTTCAAATTAAACTCTTGCGCTATATTAGTCCAAAAACGCTCTTTTCCAATCACATATGAGCCGCAAACATACAAAACACGTGTTGTTGGACGMTTTTCATGGAATTCTCTTATTATTCTCTTAGCGCGATCGATACTTTCATACTGTGAAGCAAAATTATGTTTATGTGCTATATATGTGGTGTCCAGATATATTGTATCAATGTTATTATTCCAGAATGTCGGCTCCGATTCCATGTCAGGTGAGGCACGAAAGTCGCCAGTATGTAAAATACATCGACCAGTGGACAATTTAAATATAAACATAACAGCACCTGGACAGCTACATTAAAAAATGTCAAAATTATTCATATTTCATAATGAATGTAGATATTACGCACTGATTTGCATCGATTGCAGTGACTTCAACATCATTTATCATCACAGGTTTGTTCAGTTCTATTTCGTTTATATACTTATTTTCCACTGATATCAACGCGCGCACCAAATTCGCTAAAAATACATAAATGTTATAATACATTAGAAGTAAAGATATCAAATAACAATCTCACCAGTTATTGGGCTCACATACAATGGCATTTCGAATTTGCGCGTCAAACCTTGATAGTGGTCCGCATGAAAATGTGTAAGAAAATAGTGTGTAATGCCACAAATCTGTCCATACTGGAAAGCATCAACCGCAAAAGTAGTACCAGCTACTTTTTTATAGGGCGGACAAATGCGGAATTTCCGAACTCGTTTGCTTTTACCAGTGGAAGGTGTCTCAGTATGCGATATTTGTATATCATTTTTTTCGTCAGTTATAATAGTATTTGAACAAGCTTTCTTACTAGTTAACTTTAAATTATTTATTTCTTTAGTTTGGTTCGATGTCTTGTCTTTGTTKACGAGTATCACATTTTCTTCTGTTTTTATATCCAAATTGCAGTCAGTGTACTTTGGATGTGTTGTATTCATTTCTGTTTGCAACAATGTGTTATTAGTCAAACAACTTGACGAGTGCGAAACTCTGTGGTGAACTACATCCTCCTTCAAATTCTTTGTGGTGTTTTTATCGCATATTTCTTGCATTGGTATAGATACCATTGCTGCAAAGGGCATGTCGTTTTTAATATAATCACTTCCTAAACGCGGCATCTCACATGTATCGGCAAACATTTTCTTATCAGCAGACTTATTTCGTTCTCCGGATGCCACAAATGCTTTCTTAGTTACTAAGCTATCAGCTAAATCGTCATYAGAACACAAATCTATTAATTCTTGAAATGAATTAGGCTTCGCTTTTCTTTTGGTCAGTTTGGTAGAGCTAAGAGTGGCATTCGATGAAGAAGAGCATTTCAGATCAGCTCKTTTTGAAGCATCGTCTCTTTCTGAAGTATCCGTCCTTTTGGAAGAAGCATTCGTATATGTACMGCGTTTGATATCGGTTGTTTTTGAAGCATCATTTCTCTTGGAAGTACCAATCGCAGTGGTAGAACGTTTGGGATTGGTTGTTTTTGAAGTTGACATCATACCCGAGAAGCCACTGGGTGTTGAAACCGATGTTGTGCTGCCATCGTCTCCCTCTGTGAATAGACGTTTTCGCCCTTTAATTTTTTTATTTCTGGCTCTACCAACTCTTTGGGAAGTTTTAGTTATTTTGCTTCCAGGCGCCGTTAAAAACAACTTCTCCTCCTTTACTGAAGGAGTCTCAATTTTGTATGACTTAGAGCAACTCTTGAAATAACTATCAATACGTAATTGACTTGCAGGTGGATCTTTGAATTTTGTGGTCCTTTTCTTCGCCGTAGTTTGTATATTGTCTGGAATAACTGTTAATTGAGTGACATCCACTTTTGTTTCTTCTATGGGCTGCAATGCTCTTTTACCAACTGTTGTTGCAGCCTTCTTAGTTACTTTTTGTTGAGGACGATTTTGTGGTGTAATTATCGTGCTTTCAACCTTACACACAACTTTTCTTTCATGTTCAACAGAACTTTGGGARCTATCATCCAATAAATCTACAACCGCGTTATTCGTCATATTAATGTGTTTAAACGTGAATTATTTTTTTATCATTTATGTATTTCACATGATGATAAAATTGAGTCTTGGATCCCGCTCAATTTCATATCTTGTTCTTACTTCAATAATGTAAAACCATTCACAATTAAATGTATATAAAAGCACAAAATACTAAAGCCTTTCAAACATTGGGTTTGTTCCTGCACCAAATTAACGCATTTATGTACGGACTAATTACTTTTAATATACTTATGTAAATTTAGTTTTTTTTATTGAAATAAAATTGTGTAGAAAACATTACCCATCAATTAAACATATCTCAAAAAATAGCAACCCTTCCTCTGACCTGTTAGTAGTAGTAAACAATCAACCGAAAGAAAAGAAAGACCAAAGTTGCATTTCAGTTTTTCCGAGATTTTCAAAGCATTAAAAGGTGCATTCGGTTTCCTCATATATTCTGACTGGAATCGCATTTTTCAATATTTCCTAAACAGAAAGTGAGAATTTGCTTATTAGATTAAAACGTATCTAAAAGATATCTACCATCAATTTGCATATATGAAATTTGATTAAAAATGAGAAGATGAAATAACTTGTATTCAAAGTTATAAATGAAACATGAAAAGAATAAAAATGAAAATGGAAAAATCTATAACACGAAGTGGAAATAAAGATGAAGTGTGAATGAAAATTGTGCAAGGTGGAGTGTCGAGCGTGGTGGAGCGGAGTAGAACTGAAAAAGGAAATAAGCGGTGCGTGGAGTGAAACGGAAAGAACCGTGTAGTGATACTGCCTTGTAAAAGATAATTTTAATTTAAAAATAGGATATATAGATATGTAGACCATTAAAATATAGGGCGCATGTTAAAATAAATAAAATTTAGATTTAAAAATGTGAAGAAATCTGATTCTTTAGGTTCTGCTTCGTTGAATTGAATCCCTTTTGTCACTTGAGGAAGTACCTTCTATAATAAGAGTGGCTGAAAAAATAGATATGTATATAAATAAAATGCTACAAACAATGGAGTAGTAATGTAAGATGCTGTATAGATGCGTTTGTATTGTGTGGAAGTGAGGAGCACAGCGGCTGCAGTTACAACAATAAAAAAATACTTACAAAGCAGAGCCACTACGTAAAAATAGGTGTGAGAGCAATAAAACGTTCAAGAAAAGAAGGGTCAACGTGTGGAGGTGTAGTATAAAGACGCTCAAAGCGAAATCTTCCGAGTGAGGATTGTGCAGATTGACCGGCTGACCGTGCCAGTAAATAACCGAAGACATACCTTGTCAATATAATAGCGAGTATATAGCAGGGAAGAGGCTGCTAGATTACAAGTCTGCGAAAGCAATGAGTACCGCATAGTTGRTGATGGCGGCTGTAGAGACTTGAGCTTGTAATTGGGAGTAGAGCAGCGCAAACGTAAAAACGGTGAGTTCAAGTAGAAAAGCACGCCAAAACCTAACATGTATAGTCGTTTCTACGTACCGACACATTCCGTGTATAAATAAATTAATTGACTAAGCTGCAGCACATTCCTGTCTGTCATAATGTGGAATTGGCGTACTGAGTTACAAAGATATTTGTGTCCCATTCTACATGCATACATATATACATATAATAATACCATATACATATAATAATTATTAATATTTCACTATATTAAAGGGAGTTACGAATTAAAGCTTTAGTGAAGACTGTAGAGATTTAAACAAATTTTTGGGAACTACTTGGTTAAATCTCATTTACAAAACTTTAATTATATGTTGCTTGCATTTACATACATATGTATGTATTAGTTCTCACAACAAGTTTAATTTAAATCGCTGTTCATACATCCATGCGCACATAAAATATATACCATATACTAAGCAGTTATTTGCCGAAATTTAACTCGTTGATTTAACATCACATCATTGGTAGCATTAACTACAACAAAARCTTCAATATACAGCACATCAACAACTCTATTAATGCTCACGCCACGAACAACAAAATTTAATAATAAATTTTGATTTGTGTTTTGTGTTTTGATTTAGTACCTGACATTATATCTGTTGTAACATTTGATGCTGTCAGCGTTATTATAACAAAAGCTCTACTTTCTTAAGAATTGTTTGGATCTGAAAGCAGGAGCGTTTGGTTATGTTTAGTTATAAATACGTGCAATAATTTGCGTACATACATACATACATGCCTATTGGTGCGACGAGGACTTAACAGCAGTGCTGGTGACGCCATGCTATACTAAGTTCGGCACAAATATTAAAACTTGTGTAAATAAAGTGTTATGTGCACGATAACTTCGCTTAGGTGAGGTAATTTTATTGTAGTTTCTTAAGAAAAAAATTATAAGTTATATTTGTGTGCGACCATGCATACCATTTAAGTAAGTTAAGAAAATATAATATAAAAGGTCATTCGTGGTATATTTGAATAAAGAAATTCCAAATATTGAGAATAGCTAACCTATGCGTYCACTGAAATTTCAACTTAATAATATAAGTTATGCCGATAGGATTATATGAGTGCCGATTAAACTGATAGTTCGAAAACTTGAAGATTACCACCAAATAGTACGGACTATTAGTATTATTTTAAAAATAAATATTTTCGAAAAAATKTTTAATTTTAAAGAACTTTATTAAAAAATTTCAATTACTTGGTTCAAAATCTATGTATGTATATGCTTTTAAAACAAATCTATACACAAGTTAAACAAAATTATTAGAAGAAAATTTTCGAGTGAAAATGTSTGAATATAAATTTTTTCTCTCTACTATTAAAAGTCACAAATGCACATAGGAAATATAAAAATATGCGTGTATACAAATTTAAAATATGTTTCACACAATTGCTTATAYCCTAAAAGTTGGTCCCTCTGTTAATAAAACTTGTTTTTAGCCTCCAAAATAAAATGTGTAAACAATTAGTATCTTGCATTKTGATTTTATATTCTTCAGAAGTTGTATTCATACCAATTTTCCACTGTGCATATGCATGTGTATACATACATTAATTGTACATATGTTGTATGTAGCACATGCCTAGTTGCCTTAAAAATAGTTTTAAATTTTTTTTCTTTAATTTTATTTCATATACATACGTATATATGTAAATATATGTGTATATGTATATACATACATATGTCCACTGTTGTTCGAATCTATCATATTAATAAGCTAACAATTGTATTTTATAYATATGAATGCTTAATATTAATTTGTTTATGCGAGTGTGGAAAAACGTGCTGCAATACTTGGCTTCTTGACCCCACCCATATTGCGCGCATCGCATGTCTCAATATTCAAACACTTGTTATTTATGTAATTTTTATTGTCGTTGTTGTTATTCGAGCGGTAATCCCTCACTTGTTGTTATTTTAATTTTACAACATCGCCACTTCATACTTTATATACGAATATGTACATATGTAAGTAATTTAAGACACATTTTTTAAAGAGATACAGAATTTCTTGATTTGACAGGTTAAATTATTTAATTCGATCTGCGGCTTCTGTGCAAAATTTCCGATTTTGAATTGTGGACTACTGTTATTGTTGTAGTACCTTGTTAAGTAAACAGTATTMAATACTAGGCCTTCGGTTTGACCGAAATCGGTTGCGGACGTGCCAAATTTCAGATCAATATCTCAAAAACTGAACGTATACTTCCAGTATAGTTGTTTTCAATAAATTGATTGTTTCGCTGGCTTATGGCACTGTCTTGTTGGAATCAAAATTCATTCACATCAACATCCTCTGATTCAGGCACGAAGAAGTCATCAAATCATGACTCTACATTGTGAACTTAACCTTTCTTTTGAAAGGTGATCTTCATTGCACTAAAAAGAAAACATTCTCGTGAAAATCGGAATCTGTGATCGAGATCACGTTTTTGGTCTCTCTTCATTTCGAAAAATCTCCCATAAAGTCCCAGTTCCAATAGTCACGTCTAAAAAACACACTGTACTTAACTTTCTTGTACACTTTTTAACTAATAGAGATATTTGTGGCAATTTCGTACATGTGTGTATTTGTCTGCTTTATATTTCACTTTCAATTTGCTTGCAGTCTTAATTTATTATTGTTGTTSTTTTTATTATTCCATCAAGAATTCCGCTTTAATAGCTTTTGATGTCTTTAATTTGGATTTATTCCAAATGCCGCAATTCCAGYGCTTGTACATACACTTGACCACAGCAGCTGTTTGTTTTTATTGTTTGCTTTATTAGTATTTTCAAGCAAAAGAAATCCAACGGTTAAAATCAGAAAGTATCACTGTAAAAACAAACTGAGTGTGAAAATACATACATATGTAGTACGAGGGTGGTCGAATAGATATCTAGACCTAACGCTCGTTGGCTCGAATCGTTTCTTGTTATTCCTAAATGAATGGCGCTCAGAGAACTTTCCTCACTTGYGTGAACTTCTACACATAGCTCCATCCTCGACTTTTCGAGAGAAATGCTCTGAGGAAGATTTATGGTACTTTGCGCATTTACAACGGCGAATATTGCATTCGATGGAACGATAAGTTATACGATGCCATAGATATAGTTCTGCGAATTAAGGCTAGGTCATGTCATCATCCGTATGGATGAAGGCACTCCAGCTCTGAAAATATTCGACGCAGTACCCGCCGGGTGAAGCAGAGAAAGAGGACGGCCTCCACTACGTTGGAGAGATTAAGTGGAGAAGGACCTGATTGAATTTGATATACCAAATGCGTAAGCAGTGTCTACGTCATTAAAGAAAAATAAGTACCTAATGGACAACCCTCAAATATGTATATGAATTTTACCTTAAAATGTACGTGAGAATACAGTGAAGCTTACAACAAGATAATTGACTCCATAGTGAAGGTGGCTGTGTTTTTCTTGTATTGCAGTGAATTGATTAAAAAGTGATGGTGCGATTAAGGAACCGAACGAAAAGTATTTGCTAAGCAACATTATTGACCGTTCACCAATTCAGCTTATGGTTATAATACAAGTTCAAAATCCTCAAAAGGCAAAATAACGCTTTTGGCAACATACAAGACAATCGGCCGACCCGTCCTTAACTATGCCGTACCAATATGGTCATCTGGATGCAGTGAAACGCAGATAGGAAAGTTTCAGACATGCCAGAATACCCTTGATGTCTCCTATCGAGCATCTACACATTGAGGACCATATGCTCCCAGTTTAGGAACATAATTAACTCCTCTGCAAACAGTTTATGCTGGAATGTTTTCGTAGAAACCATCCCTTTTTGCATTTCAGGTGACGATTTCAGGTACTTTATGGGAGTTGGGGTATTATCGGTTCGATTTTATCTTTATGACATATTAATAAAATGTTCCATGAAATTCATTAAGGTACCTCACATACAAATGAATGTAAAATAAGCCGGATGTTATATGGGTGGTAGGTCAAGTTTTCGACCAATTTTAACCATTTTAGACACAGAGATACATTGTAATGAGTAAAAGACGCCCTCTGATTTATCTCCTTGAGATAACTCACATGTCGACCGATATATGTGGTATAAAATCGCCCGGAAATTAAAAAAAAAAAAAACTTTGTAAGAGAAGTATTGACCCGAATAAAATGTTTTTGACATACAGACATACCGTTGTCAGGAAAGGATTACCCCACAATTTCAATTATAAATCATCACTGGCGTATTTAGTCATTGATTTATCGCAGTTAGAGGACGGAGCTATCTTCCAATTCCATTAATTTTTACCATGTCGTTAGGGATGCTGAAGAGACTTGGTCTGAGTGAATTTGGTTAATGTAGCTTAAGGGGTTACACGGATTTCCTCGGATAAAAAACAGATTTTTTAACAAATTTTTTCTCATTATTCTCAAATTAAATATATCATTAGACTTTCTTTGTTAGTAACTTCTGAAATTTTTGGAAAAAATACTTCAAATTTGGCCCCTGCGACGCCATATCCGTTGACCCCTCGGAAAAAGATGCACCTGCGTGGCAGGATAACTCCTTACAGAATCATGTAAAGTGAAAAACTACATGTTTTAGTTAAAACCTTAACTTATAGCTTGGCAGAAGGGAAAAAACTGAAAATTGGATTTTTGGCAGACATTTTTACAAAAATATGAAAATTTCGCGAAATATTTTTTTTTTTTCAAATAGTTGTAATCGAAAAAAATCCTTCATCCAAGAATTAAGGAGATCGGTTGAGTAGTTATCGAGAAATCCTGATCGCCGTCCTCAAAAACACAGTTTCAAGAAAAACGCGTTTAAAGACGCCGCATTCAGTCTAGCTAGCCTGGAGCGCACAAGTTCTCAAGACTGTATCTCCGAAAATATTACACGGATAAACTTGAAAATTTCGGACGATTTTCTAGAGGTGTTGTAGAATTTAATAAGACTATAAAAAAAAACAATTTTTTAAGCCCGAAATTTTAATTCAATTATACACAATAMAAACTGCTTAGCGCTATAAATGTCTGTGGTTGCAAGATAACCTCAAAGATTTGAAAAACACATTATTTCTAGTTTAGATACCGAAGAGTTGCCCCAAGCTTAAATGAATGGCAAACAACAGCTAATACATTGCATATTTCTACAATAACAAATTAAATATTCGTTATATAATAAAGGCTATCTTAACTTTACAGAATCAACGAATTTCACAATTCTAAATACACGAAATCTACGCCCCAAAGCCAAAATTAAGCAATCAATAACTATCGATGATGTAGCAAAATGCTGTAATATAACATAAATTAACCGAAATCAACAAAGTCGACGACCCGCTGACAGCAGAAGAAACTTATACACATACACATACAAACGCCAAAAAAGTAGAGGCGAATAAACTCGTAAAGATTAGTGGATAAAAAAATGTCAATGCTGCCACTAGCGGGCAGTGCCTCCGGTACACATCTACGTCCACTATCATTGAGCGGTCCAGAGCGTGAACCTGTACAATTTACGGTTAATTTGGTTGGCGCACCGCCCGAAGTCGAGCAGCTGGTCGAACAAATCAAACACGTAGCCGAACAGTTTCTGTATCATTGGAAAACCTTCCCAATCGGTGAGTTTTGACACAAAACACATACAAACACAAACACTTATTTACGCTAAACGCTGATGATCACACTGATTAACTTTATTGTTACTTTGTTTTCCTTTTGCTGTTGCTGTTGCGACGATGTCATCGGTTTCGCAGTACTCCCGCAACCGCTATCCGCAACAACACTAGTGCTGACCGTCAACAATGCAACGAACAGCGTCAGTAACCGCAACAAAACGCGACCGATTAATTTGCGCGACCTATTTATAGCGCCGCCCTTTGATGAGTTGGATGCCGTTGCATCGGATGGCAGCGGTGAACCGCGACGCCTCACCAATTCGCAGCTGAAGTCATTGCGAGAGTCTGGGTGAGCCACTTTATCGATTTTATAATCGCCTATAAGTTTGTGTTTTTTTTCTCTCTCATTCTTTTGTTATTTTTTTTTTCTTGTTTCTTGTTTCTTATTTCTGGTTTTTGTGCTTTTTAATTTTGTATTTGTTTTTTTTTATTTTTGTTTTTGTTATTTTCAATTGTGATTTTTGTTTGTTGTGAAAAATATTTGTTTCCCTTTTTGTTTGCATTCTCTTGGTTATTATCGCTAACAATGCGGGTCAATTTATTTATTTATGTGCGCATCTGCTAGCGCTTGGGTACTGAAGTTGAGCTAAAAAAAAATTATGTCATTTCATTTAGGTATATTTAATAATTTTCTATTACTCGCATTTAATTAATAATTAATTTGTATTTATTTGATCAATAAAATCACGGCTTAGCATACAGTCATCAAAGTCAGCTCACCGCTCAGGCTTGGCTTGGCAGAGATTTTCTCAAATGAACTCATAATTAGATCTTTCGCTTTCAATTTGCATATTTCTTTTTTGTTTTACACTCTTTGCCTTACACACCGCTCAGCGTTGCTGCAAATTATGAACATTTTTCCAAAGTCGAAATTTTGTTTTAAGAAACAGTTGTTTTTGGTATTTTTGCTTTACTTCTTTAATTTATTATTACAATTTTATGGCGCTTGATTTTTTCCTTAGAAATAATATCACTTTGCTATTTTCTATTCGTTTTACAATTCTATATCCAATATCACATCATGTTAATCTCTTTTCTGTATTTCCTAAAATCGAAAATAAAAAAAAATTCAAACTATTTGCAATTGTTGTAAAATATACGCGTAAAGCTTGCAAAAGGATAAATACGGCAAGCCAAAGAAATTAACTTTGGCACAATTGGAAACAATACGTAAAAATGGGTAAATACCGTTCAAATAAACAAATTCAAAATATTCATACACACATACATGCATATATTTGCCTTTTTGTGTACATTTTCAATAATTTTTTTTTTTTGCTTACAAAATAATTAATTTCGATTTCAATGTTGTGTTTATTGAGCTGCGTATCCAATACCTGCTTTACATAAGTATGTAGAGCCCAGTTGTATGTGTAGTCAAGTTATACATACATACATACATATAATATCATATATACATCTTCATAGAAATCCATATTAGCTTTTTTGTATGTGTTTATGCCAAGTGAAATTAAATTAATTCAATTTTTCAAGCACTGACATTTATGGGCATCCTCGAAAATCCAGTTGTTTTAGAATGATGAGCACAGCTCCTAAAAACTTATATTATTAAATGGCGATATATGCCGTAATTGCAAACGAGTTGTTAACGCAATGCTGTATTTTAGTCAAGGTGTTATATCAACTTGTGAATTACAACAAATTATTATTATTTTTTTTAGTTATGTTGGATAGTCGAAAAAGTCTTTTCGTATTTTGTCGTATATCTCCAGTGCTACCAATCACATTGTGTCATACCATGACCATATTGTCATACATATATTTAATATGCGGCAACGTCAATAACGAAGTATTAAAATTTACTACCGAAATTCGGAGCCAGTGGCCTTAACATTAAAGCACGGTTTGGTGCGGTTTATGGACCGACAGAGTCATTGGGCCGTACTTCTTCCGTGATGATCAAGACCATCACGTTACGGTGAATATTAATCGCTACCGCTCAATGATAACCGAATATTTTTGGTCTGAATCGGATGATATAGACTTGAACAATATATTGTTTCAACAGGACGGCACCTCAAGCTACACAGCGAATGTCACAATCGATTTATWGAAAACTAAGTTTGGTGAACGTGTTATCTCACAAAATGATTCAGTCACTTGACCGTTTGATGCCGTTAGACTATTTCCTGTGCCAAGTCTRCAGTCTATGCCAAGCGATGATTGATGAAATTCCAGCAGTATCGGCCAATTTATGCTTGAAAACTGTCGGAAATTGGGTTTAGCGTCTTAATTTCTGTAAGCGTGCCCGCGGCAGCCATGCAAAAGAAGTCGAGCTTCATACATAATGGCATGTACTTTCACAGGAATAAAGAATTTCATTGATATCCCAAACTATTTTTATAGGTCCCTTATTGAAAAACACTTTATTTGAAAATATTCTCCGGCAATTTGAAATTCATCCGGCAAATAGTATCGGAGATACTACTGTGAGCACAAAATAGTAAGACTTTTTAGTTTAAATTTCGCGTGAAAAGTTCTTAGTTTCCTTTGATCGGTTAGTTTGAATGGCAGCTATATAATATAGTGAACCAATAAATGAGCAGCTTCTTTGAGAAAAAAGCTTGTGCACAAAATTTCAGATCGATATCTCAATAACTGAGACACTCGTTCGTATATATGCAGACAGACAGACGGATGGACATAGCTTAACCAACTTAAGTCGTCACGCTGATCATTTATATATGCATATCACCCATGAGGTCTCCACCGACGTTTCCTTCTGTGTATTATAAACTTCATGGTAAACATAAATCCACGAAAAAACGAATTTTTCCGATTTTTAAATGGATATAACAGTTTAATTAAAGTTTAAGATGATATTTTTTTTGAATAATAAAAAAAATTGTTAAAAACTAAAATATAGTGCTTCGTCCAAGCTTTAAAAATTTTATCTCAAAGACCTGTGTAAAATTTCATGAAGATTGGTTGTTTCGTTCTCGAGAAACCTTGCCAACCGACTTCAAAAACACAGTTTTGAGAAAAACGAGTTAAAAATTTTTTTGTGAAATTTAATAAAATCGATTTTTTGAAACTCGTAAACGAAGGAAAAAAATTAAATCAAATATTGGAATTATAATAAAAAAAATAAAATAAAATAAAAAAATGTGTCCCTTAATTCGTTCCAAACTCGTTGTAAAAAATAATTAAGCCTGTTGAAACAGTTATTTAAAACAAATTATTGATGATTGGTTCGAAAGCTTTTCAAAAGTTCCCATTATAAATTCGCCAAAATCACTCAGTAGCATCTATTTATCTACCATTAAGCAAAATATTAGTTAGTCAACACTTCAGAAAGCACAAAAGAAACAAAAGCGCTCCTACAACAAAGCAATCGGCTCATCTGTTCTTCATCCTCACTCATTTGGTGAGCTGCTCGCTAGGCGTTTGACATTTCTTCGCTGACATTTTACGCATTCGCGGCACGCATTCCTCTTTAAATTAATACGCATACAAACCACTCAACGAAATAAGAAAACAAAAGCAAACACAACAAAAATACAAATGCAATTTCCTTTTTATGTTCTCGAGTATTACCAGGAGCCACAAAGCAATTACTTAACATGTACATAGCTCGCATATGCATTTTGCTTAGTAGTTTGTCGGCATGTCAAAACACATTTCACATTGAAGCGCTGCTAACGCAATAGTACGCCCATAAACACCACACTTTAGTAGCGCACTTCGCCGGAACTGATTTGTTTTATTGATTTCCGCATACTGCAGTTGCCCTGCCTACCTTCTGCTTTGCATTTTTCGTTTTACAAATTTCCTTTCTCTACTTTATGACACAGTGAATTCGATGTGCCCAGCTTGCACTTTCCCGGTCAGGTGCATAAGTGGCGACTGTCACAGCTGCTGCAGAAGGGCACATTGCGCGCCCATGATTCCTTCCTCAGCGACTTGGCGCTGGCCGCGCGTTTTATTGTTGTAACGGCGCGTGCGCGCATTTTTGGGCATTTCTTTTCGGTAGTGCATGCCGCGCAAGCACTGCTAGATGGTATCATCAAGCTGTTCGATATGTTTATCGGTATGTTAAGTATAACAAACAAAAACTAAATAAAATAAAAAATAAATATTCCTTTTGTCTTATTTTGTAGGAGTGCCGGCATTGCTCGCACATAACTTGGATTATAAAATCAAGGAGGAGCGCTGCCGCTTTCTAATCGCGGAGCTTGTGTGTCGCGTAAGTGTTTCAATAATTGCCAAAATACTACTGTTGCTTTATACGTTAAATCACTTTTCGTTTTGGCATTTCAGCCCGAATTCGAGGACTGTCTAGATGGGCTGTGTTCGTACGTGCGCAAAATGCTGCGTCGCGCCACAATGGAAAAATTCGATTTCAATAGCTGTGAGGTAACGCAACCGGTTCCGTATCTCTTTCTCACGCCCAAGGGTCAGGAGATTGATTTGCGGCTGTTCTGCCGTGACGTCATGCGCAAAGCGCTGCCGGTGCTTATCGGCATATTGGAGCGCGAGACACGCGGCTGGTTTCTGCACTTTCGCGAGCGCCTCATTGCAGAGCTGCGCGCCAAAAAGCTCAGCGACAAGGAAATCGAGGAGGTAAACAAGTAATAAGATTTATTTTAATGCCAATATTTATGCTAAAAAATTTGTTGGTAGGAAGTAAATGAGGCGGTTATGAAGGAATACCTGCAACGCGTCTACTCCTCCATACTGTCGAATCCCAAGTTAGCGGAGCTGGGTGATGGCATTCCCGAACTTCTGGTTCAACAGGCACAATCTGTTGTGTTCATGTACAAGGCGATGGATAAAGTGCAGAAGGATATTAAGCGCACTCGCGAAGATCATCAGAAATGTCTTGCCAACGATCATTCGGTTTTGTCGCGGGTTGCGCCTTGGCTACGCTCGAAATTGCGCAAAGCCGAGGAGAGCAAACTCAGTAAATCCGCATGGTCGGCACATGAGGAGGCGCTAAAAATGTGCACCAAAAATAATTTGCACCAAACTGCCTATTTTCTTAGTCGCGACTTGGCATTCATGAAAGAGCGCGAACCAGTTCTACTCAAAGAGCTTAAGAATGCGAAAACGCCGACACGCAGCTTCCAATGGGCTTGCCGCATATGGTCGCCGAGTGCTTGGATAATACGACGAAACTTTCAAGGTCAATCGGATGTGATACCTACAGTAATTAGTCAGCAGGCTACCTCGATTGTAACGCCACGCTCTGATCCCAGTCAGCCGGTATTCTTGGTGGAGAAGGAAATCATACGTACAACCAGCACGCGCTGGCCACTTTGGCGTTTACTAAATTTACTGCAGCGCACCTGGTGTTGGACATGGAACATGATGTTTCTGCTCGGCATACTGGTGCCCTGGTGCAGTCCATTAGGATTGCGTGCACTCTTCTGTGTGAAGCCGTTCATGCCGGACTTGGAGCTGTCGCAGATCAATGGCACTCTGTTTCCGCGCAAGACCAGCATTACGCAGACGATGGCCTCACGCTTGATCGAACTCTGGCGACACATATCAAAATCACGTACACACTTCGAAACGGAACCGGACACTGGTGAGTTCACACAGCTCTACATTGCTTTATTTTATATGCAATTTCCGTCCCGTTCGCTTCGATTTGTAGGCTTCATTGGCAAAGGATTGACGCGTAACTTAAATCGAGTGTGGAATTATTTCTTTAAGGGCTTTCTCGGCACTCTTATCATACTATTCGCCTTTCCGTTGATTTGCTTAGCCACCAGTTTTCTCAGTATTGCACTAGCGCTGACCGCGCCACTTTGGATTCCTATATTTACAATGCTTTTGCATCTCTATATGATACTCATCTACGATTTGGACTGTCCGGATAACTCGCGAAATCGTTACTGTATACTCCTGGAGGCTGTTATTTGGAACATTATGATACAGGGGCTTTTACAACCGGTTGCCGCCGTTTTGGTCGCTACGTTCTGCTGTCCGCTGGCATCGAGCATAATTTTAGTCGGTAAGCGTCGCTGAGAGCGCTTCTAAATTAAATGATTTCCCTTTTTCAATCCCAAACTGTCTACATTTTTTGATTAGTTGGCGTGGCCCGCTTCTCGCTCCGGCTGCTATGGGATTCCTTGACGTTTCACTTGTTCATAAAGAAATGTGGTCGTGTACCGGCCTCCGATAGCATTGCTGTGAGGCGTATAGCTGGACCGGGCCTAGCGCTCGACTACTATTTTATCATCAAACCCGAACAAGCTTTGGCAGCGTTTGAGGCGAAAATGGAGTTGGATGAACTTCAAGCATATCAACACGCTATGGAGCGCATCATACTACAGCCGCAAAAAGATTTCAGTCAATTTGTAGAAGCCTGCTTTGGTCCATTCTCGGCCCAGTTGGCGAAAACAGGGCCGTATATGACACTGGATCKCGAGGCACATGATCTAATGAGCACCCTACACGAAAAGTTGGAAAAACGGAGACGAGAACTACAAACCTCGCTGACAACACAGGTGAAAACGCGCATAAAATTAAATACCAAGGAGTTAAAGGTGAGTGTGAATTTAAAACGTGATGTTTAGAGTAAGCACTTGCTGCTTTTGCAGATTGCCATACAACTGGCCGCCCATATATTAGAGAAATGTTATCCGTCACATGTTATTGCCAGGCTGTCCATTAGTGAAGATGACTTTTGGGATAATAAGGTAAATAGCAATGCAACATAACAGTTAAAAGCAAACTCATGATGTTCTTGCTTTCATTTCCATACGTAGGGCCTTAGCGTAAACGATTGGCCCGGTCTGGCCGGTCTCATGTATACCGAAATATTTAGCTTAGATTTTCTAACGCCATTGACTGAGAACGACACACATTTTAAACTAGAACCGCATCCCTCGCTCGACTTAACACGTTACACAGAAATGGTACAAAACGCTACCGATGTGATAGGTTCCAAAGGTTTGGATTTGCTGGGTAACGTGTACGCGCCGCGTGGTAATGTGCAAGTGCATTTGCCATTCCTCGAAGTGACGGCCTTCAATCCGCGTTCCAGAATCACGCTCAACTTCAGGAAGCCAGAAAAGCGGTGAGTGTAGTTCAATTTTAATAAGTAATGGTAATTAAGATTACTGTAGCTTATMACTTACATTACACCGTAACAGAGACATGTCCGTCGGCTTGACGACGCCACGTGTGCGCGCACACCGTTCACAAAACGCGAAAGCGCCAGAGCCGCTGAAATCTTGGCGTCCATGGAAAAAGAAAGCGGACGAGAAGAGCGTTACGGAGAAGTTGCTTATACCGTTACCTGTGCCGCATCCTGTGCACATTGCCATCGCCATACACAATCGTGACTCCGAAAATCCTATACCGCTCGACTCGGAACTTGTGTGGGAAATACTCAAGTCAATCGAGGATTGTCAWGGCGGTGATGTGATGGTAAATACGCCAGCAACAACGTCTCTTTATGTCAATTACACTAATTAATTTGATGTTTCGCTCTATTGTAGGCTGTGCAATCAGTTGCGCGCTATCGCGGTGTTGTAACAGAATCTAGTAACGACTCGTTAGCCACTAGTAGCAGCATTGGCAGCACACGTGATTCGGGTTCCGGCTCAGGCATTGTTGGCAACGGCACCGAAACATTGCCCTGCGTTAACCGTGAGGTGAGCCGAACGCACGTGCCTTCAAATGTATMCTAAATAACAGCGAATTATTTATCTTTCAATAGGTTTGCACGCAGGTAAAAGTGTCCGAGGAGCCGGTACAAACGTCCGGCTTCCATTGGACGCTCAGCAATTGGGGTGCCGCGCAAACGGCGCGACGACGCACCAACTCGAATGTGCGCGTTGACTTGGCTAGCCCTGAAGATATATCACTGGACACAGATAGTTCGCGCGCCGTCTTCAACGCATATGGCACAACGGTTTAAGACGGCCGACTAGTGTATAGGGCGATTCGCCCGCGTACAGTAGCTAAAGTTAGCTAATAAATTTATAATGAATGGTTTTTAATTTACATATAAATTGGCGAGTATTTTTTATGCAGCATATGAATGCGCGTCAATCCGCTTGGTTTTGTATGTGAAGTAGTTGCAGCACTGGCAGCGGACGTTCATACAACGAGTGTCATATGTTCTTGCGCATACATTTCCATATGCATTCGTTCATATATATAGTATATAGTATATATACGTACATATGTATTGATGGAGCATTCATAGTAGTTATATATATACATATTAATCAACAGGCATATACATATATATTTGTATAACATAGCATGTACACATACATTATAGATTTACAATGTGCAACACGCATACATACAGCTAACTGCTGTATGACTATTTTATTGTACATCCATATGAAGCATCTAGTCGTGCGAACAAAAAARTAAATATTAAGTGAGCCATTTCAATATTTTCATTAACATTGTAGTTACACTTCTTGCATTGGTCAGTTGTTGCAACAGTTTTTTGCTTTATTTTTTTTCTTTTTTTTTTACAAAATTTTGTTAATTTTTTTTTTCGCATACATAAGTATTTTAAAAATTCGTTTGAGAAATAAATGAACAAGTAGCGCATAGTCCACGTTTTCATATAAATAAGTGCTTGCTTTAATATGCCATGCTGGCAATGAAAACTCATTTTCCACTTTATATAGTTACTKTATAACATATATATTTACTCAGATTGAACTCGAATATCGCACTTAGATTATGTAATATTTTTTTATGTTTTTCTTGCAGCTTTCTTCTATAGCTCTAAGTCTAACTGTTATAAGCGTATCCTTTAAAGCCATTTTGTTTATGGCAATGCCGTTAGAACTCTACTTATTTACAAGTGTTAACATGAAATACAATTTTTTTATTTTATTATACACCGCTTTTTTTTATTTTAGTACACCGCAAAAGAATTTATTGCAAATAAATGGTCTCAGTTTATGAATTATTCACTTTCAACTAAATTTAAATAAACCGCGTATGTCTTTTTAATAAAGTTCTCATTTAACTCTTRGCAGCTTGTTTTTGAGTGCACATTCATTAACAATTTTACCTAATTTTTTTACGATTTTATGTATACTTTCTGCACATTGCCATTAAAATATCATTTCAAGCAATCTTCGATACTGCATTTCCTAAATCTTTCGCTGCAAACTAATTACGTCTGACGAACAGTGGATGGTACAGCAAAAATCTATTATCTAGCCGTAGTCAAAACGCCCTTATAAGAACGCAACCAAAAATTCGAATGAGATTTACATTTTAAGTAGCAACAAAACTAACAAATTAATGTTAATTCTATATTATTAAATTATCAATACGAATTCTATGTACGAATATATTATATACATACATAAATACAATTTGGTAACAAATGAAAAAAAAGCAACAATTAAAAAAAATAATAATTATTATGAAAGTCAAAAGATGTTGATCAATAGCAAATATAAGTAATACGACATTTACAATTTATATACAAGCGATGAATAGTTATATAAATATTAAACATAAAAATATTAATAGATATTTACATAAAACTATTACTAACCCTAGTCCTTCCCCCATCTGCGCTTATCAGCTAGCTTTGCTCTCCTTTCAGCGGTCTCCCCGGCACCTGAACCACGCGYTGTGGTAATAAAAGCAAACAACTTAGCTTCACAAAAACCGAATACAAGCCGCCTATGTCAAACATTAAATTAAAATTACAAACTTTTAATTAACTGCAGATGTGAAGTATGAGGTTTAAGTGAAAATTTTTGCAAATGATATTTATATTTAACGAAAAAATATGCTAATTATATTTATATACAATATATATATGTATGTATGTTGTTAGCAGCAAAACAAAATGTATGCAGAGAAAAGTTAATATGTGCGCATACATATTTAAACGTTGGATAAATATTATGAATAAATTATATATATTTATTGGCGAGGAAAGGCACAACACATATTAACACGAACAAATGAAAAAACAACTTATTTACCATATAAAGCACCTGTCAATCAGTCATTTGCAACACATGCGCTAATTTCCACAAACAATTCCACATACTTCTATTAAAACTTAAGCCTGTGTACAAGTATTTTATTTATACAGACAACTAAATTTGCCATAGTTGTATGTATATTTATGTTTTTTTTTTTAATAATATTTCACATTCGCTAGTATTACCTGAGTACAATGCAGACAACACACACACATACACACAAGCGTAAGATTAAATAACATATATTTTCACACAATTTTGCCCAGTGTTATCTTCTATTATACTTTTATACATATTTATTTATATATTATAGAATATTTTGTTTTTGTAAATAATTTAATATTTTATAATCTCGAAATACGGCCACCACTAAATAATACATTTGTGTTTATTTACACATGTACATCATATAAAATATTTACATACGTACTAACCATATTAAATTGAACATAAATTTACATTTAAGTGCATAATGACGAAGAATAAATATTATTACTGCAAAATGAACAAAAAGTTGATACAAATTTAATTCTGATAGCGATTTGCATTAATGTAAATGCGGATGATTTAAATGTGAAATATGGACACGATTTCTAATAAATTGTAGTGTTATGAATATAATGTTGCAAACRATAATAAAAAACATATGTTTATTTCAATGTTTAAAGGAAAAAGCTGTTGAAACACTTTGGTTAAGAGTAGTAGTAAGTAAGGTGTAAAAATAAAAGATTATTGGAATCTTTGCAAATTTTGCTACGACAATGTTTACCAAAGGATTAAATATGCGTAAAAACATTAACATCTTTTTGGTTAAAAGAAAGTCTGTGTGCATTTGGTTCCAGCTGAATTAAAGGAACACCAAAAAATTTAAGGGAGTTTGGTTGAAAATACGCATTGCTCTCATTATATTCGTCTAATCTAGCGCAATGTGTCTACTTTCTATTTTCCCAACTGGAAACCAATATAAAAGGAGAATTCTGTGTTTTTATTCCTGCCACTTAAGCAGCAAATGGCACAAAAAGATCTATCCAAGTSCTGGTTGATCCTATTTTTTATAAATAATAACTTTCAAATCTAATATAAAGTGTATATAGTGGATATTGAAAAAGTTCGATTAGAAACTTTGTATACTAATAAACTTACCTAATAGCATATCAATTTGGATTTGGAATTATGAAAACTCGATTTACCTTCTTAACGGAAACGCTGCCGAAAATTCCATGTCTCCGACTGATTGACCGAATTAGTTTAGTTTGTTGTGTTAAAATATTTGGTTTGACCATTTTTGCGTTACACATTGTTTCTTTTATTTTATGAACACAAATTTTTCTTCCATTTAATAAGTGCTATCAGCCAGATTTGCAACACGCCTTCCAATTTTCGCGATAATTTACTTATGTTACATGTGTTTGCGTTTTTGCAGTTTAAGGCATTACATATTAACGCACACATTTTTATTAAAAAGCACTACAATTTTTAATTTTCATTTAACCTGCCTTCTATGAGCGCATGACACTTTACCGAATTCCAGTTTAAAGTTTGTTAAACTGATAATTTCAGGGCATTTTTCACGTTGCACACATAAATAACACTTATTATTACACAGAAACACAATATATGCTATAGATATATATTCTGAACACAAATTTTATTTCTAAATAAAAGCGGATATCGAAGGCTTTGCTTACTAATTTCCTGCAGCACTTGAAAATGAAAACGCGCCATTTTGAGCAGCTGACACACAGGGTGCTGCGATTTTTAAATATTGTACGAATCAACTCAAAAGAGAAACTGTATCCTCTTAGAATAAAAATACAACTTGGTATGTTGATGGTATATATATTGGTACAGTAGTGTCTTACGCTGGCGGTTAATTAAATTTTACAGTTGAAATTATCTATAATCATCTAAGTTTTTTTAAAAAATTTGGTCTGTTACATAACTAATGGCTTCTTCTTTGTTTAAAARAAACTATGTGCGTCGGCCGGGAATCGAACCCGGATCAACTGCTTGGAAGGCAACTATGCTAACCATTACACCACCGACGCAATAATAACTTTTTGGCAAAGGAGCTTTTTCTTATTTAGGCAAATTCTTGCAGCACAGGGTAAGTCATGGGAATGATTCTAAAAATATTAATGTTTACAAAGAAATTCAGAAGTAAGAATAATTACTTTTAATTATTGGTATGTCAGTTAGAAAGTATATAATAGCGCTATTTTAGGCAAGTATTACAAAATTATTTTGATTATTTATTATTTGTAAATCGATAATGATAATTAAAACAAAAATATTGTGTAGAACGTTGACAGTGTTCAAGTATGTAATGGAAGAATTGAAAATTAGATGCGTCTGTGGTGTAATGGTTAGCATAGTTGCCTTCCAAGCAGTTGATCCGGGTTCGATTCCCGGCCGACGCAYACTGAAGTTTTTGCTGCAACTCTTCATTTTACTCAAAAAAATACATATTTACGATTTCATGCAGCAAATTGCTTTTTTATTGCAATAATGAATATATAAATTAGTTATAAAACAAATAAAAAATTATTGAATAGAGTCTAATAAACATGTGCGTATATATTGAAYTTCGAATTGGGCGCTTTACAGCCAACCGCTGGAGCCAGCACCACCACCAGCCGATCCCTTGCCACCACTGCTCGCCCATGGACCTAACGACTGAACATTGGGTACGTGATTGGTGCCTGCCGTTATTGGGCTGAATGCTACATCCTTGGTCAAGGTGAGATGATGTGCCGCGCCAGCATTACCGTTTCGTGTATATTGTCCCAGTTTGGAGGCTTCATATTCGGTTTTCTGTATCTCAGCCGCTGCGGCATGGGCCGATCGTTGCAATGCCGATGCTGCTTCAGCTTCACGCGCCGCAGCAATGCGTTGTTGATGCGCCACCGCGGCCTTCGAGGCGGCCAAACGTTGTTGTGCCAACACTACAGCTTGTGCGGCAGCCGCTGCTTCGGAGCGTTGAATAGCGGCAGCGGCCTCGGACTTCTGTGTAAGTATGGCGGCAGCTGTTTCCTTCTCCATAGCCATGCGTTGCTGATTGAGCACATTCTCTTTAGCCGCCTGCATTTGTTGTTGCGCAATTAGTACATTGGCTGAAGCTTGCTTTGCGGAGGCAATGGCATTAGCCACCTCGCTGGGTGACGGCGCCGAGCTGTGACTCGCAGAACTGCAATATAGACATATTAAGAATTCAAAATAAATATGATAAATTTTCATGCAATATTGTTATTGTTTTACAAGCTCTTCCAAGGATTCCAGCCACTAACAGCTAGTGCACCAAAACCACCACCGAAATGTGCATCATTACCGCCGCCCAGCCAAGGACTGGCACTGATAGCTACTGTGTGTCCTGACTCGCTGCCAAATCCAGACAGACTGCGGCGRTTCAAAGACTTCTCCGGTGTTAAYGACTTTACCTCCACATTTCCCTCACCTGTACTTATGGCAATGAAGCCGATGGCGTACAACAAGAATACATGTGTAAACTGTAAAGGATAAATTTTTAATGCCCCGTTTGCTACGCGAATACCAAATTTTACTGACCATATTTTTAGTGTACATTTTAGTATTTGAATTCTTAATCCGTTAGTTAATTGCCGGCTGAAAGTGTTGTGGAAAGCTCAAATTTTAGTTATATTCAAGCTTAACTGCTGAAACAAGTGGAATACACAAACTGAATAATCTCTCGAAATGCGAAGCCTTTTTATACAGATTTTGTTTGGCTATGCCCATTTCAGCCGCTTGCAAAACTAGCACAATTAATAGCAAATCTTCCAATATCTCTGCGAATGGACGAGCTGCTGTAATAAAGATGTCTGCGTCAAAGGGACTGCTGCAAACGGTCACGTAGAACAATTTATTTTCTGCACCTTTCGCTTTCCYGCTAACGCCAATCAGCCGCTCTCTTTGTCGTGGTCTTCAGCGTTGCTTTAATATTTGAGCTAAGCTTTCGAATTACTACAAGGTAGATTAAATTAAATCGCCGAATTGACAGGAAACGAAATAGTTTGATTAACTGTAAGTATACAGGCTTAACCTGTTCAATATAAAGTGCGGTGCAGGCACCTCTGTCAGCCCAATTTGCCGGAATTTCAATGAGTGTTAAGTGACGCTAGCATACTTATTGAGCGGTTTAACCCAATAACAGAATTACACGTATTTATATAATTATAAAGTGGTGTTACACTTGGCCCACTCTCTATTGAATAACCGTCTTCCGCATTGCATAATGAAAAGTTTAACGCAAACTGATTACCTTATATTAGGTTGTCAAAAAAGTCTTGCGGTATTTTTATGGAATTTTCAATTGTTCATRAAAATTTGTTTKATGACTCATGTCCAACTCTTGACCGATGCTACGGCTGCTACTATGCCGTTCTCTTTCGACCAATTTAGCGATTTTATGACAATTTTCGACGACAGGCCTTCCGGAGCGTGGCGCATCTTCGACCACCTCTACACCASAACGAAAACGTTGAAATCATCGTTGTGCGGTGGAAAGGGTAACTGTATCGGGTCCAAAAAGTACACAAATTTTATTGGCGGCTTGAGATGCATTTTTGCMTTTATCGTAGTAGTACATGACGTATTATCTCTTTATTTTGCTCCATGTTTGCGACGCTATAACTCACGAACGACTTAAAAGAAACGACAAATCAATCAAACACGTGTTAGCGCGTGAAATGAGCTTTCCAAAAAGGTATAGCAAGACCCGATGCGACGAATAAAACTAGAACTACGCGCTCTCAGCGCCAACTAGCGAAAATACCGCAAGACTTTAATATTATTGTCACTATAAAAATTATAAAGAAATAAAACTAAAATATAATATATTATTTGAAGCCCTTCAATTGTTGATTGCTTCGGACGAGCCAATTGGGACCTATTTGCTGAACTCATAAACTGAGAAATGGGGAAATGTTCAATTGTACATTGCCATCACGCGGTACAAARATGGGATCCGAACTTAGTTGGTAGATCTCTAGACGAATGCCTTTGGTTACTTCTTTCAGAAAAAGACGTTTGAGACCATGAGGTTTAATCAACATTTAAACCCACACTAGGTAAATTATTTAAATGCGATATTACTAGTGGATCATTCCTTAAAATGGCTTTAAAACTGGCATGCAGTAAGAAATTAATAAATAATTGGACTCGTCCAGCACCGCTAAGGTTCCTAAAGTATCAACTTGGAAACAGCATGGAAAGATATCAGCAATGCTTAAAAAAAAGTCAGTGAGCGAGAGAGGTGTAGAGATGGCGAACAAGTCCGGAGTTCTCAGGACGCCCCGGCCCTCTGCAACTATTTATTGCAGATATTTTTACGATTGCTCATTATACGAGTATGTACATACATAGATCAGGGAACATCCTATGTTCTCCCTGGTACCGATTTTCTCTCTACTGCCCTGGAAAGTGACATAATAATGATCAACGGGAATAAGTTATTCTGAATGTTATCGACCTACCGTAGAATCAATACAGGTTTGTCGATGCATGAAAATTATTTGTTGATCATATAAGTACCAGTGTAGTTTCCTGCAGTCATTAAGTGTAGTAAACTAAAAAATATRTTTAAAGTAATTAAAAGTTCAGCAGATAAAACTCGTGTGAGCATTGAAAATGTTGCCCAACGTCCGTCGTAGCTAATTTCTGTTATGGGTTACGTGAGTAGGACTTTTTTTCCGAAAAGGAAAGGAAAATTTTACTTATGGTTCCAAACATAGCTCATCTTTCGGTGAACAATGTGAAGTCTCAAATATATTTTTGATATGAAAAAAAAGCAAAACAAAAAACGTTAACGCCGGCTGCATCTAAGCAATAATACCCTATAAAGGTRCATTTCCTTCGGTTTGCATCCGACGCAAAATGATTTCTTTCAAGCCACATTGTTTGATATAAACAACCATCGGATCGAAAAATGGCAGCTATAYGATCGGCGGGAATCCTGCTAGCTACATCTAGGTAAGGCAGAGCTATATATCCATCGTTATCTTCTTGGTAATTTTGCTTTGGCATACGACACTGGGGAAGGGGATGTATGTACATATAACTACCCCTGCCATTGCTAATGGAGTACCTAACTTTCGGTACGCAACGCTAAGGGTAGAGATTCCTGCTACCACCAGCGATCACAATGGGTCTATTTACTGCCGTACCTCTTCTATGAATGGAGCAGTTCACAGCGGCAAAAGCCAACAAGGGTAAAACAATATGCAAGGAGTTGGTCAAAGTTCATTCGAGGTATGTACATCCCATTGAAGCTTTGTATACAACTGTCTGAARAATCTATATTTTAGAAATTGTGATAAAAAARTACCCGGAAAWTGTAATTTAATATAAAAAACACCCAGAAATCATATTTTGCTAAGTTAGTGGAACTACACTTAATTACAATGCCAAATATGAGTGCGATCTGTCAATCAATTTGTTTACAGCAGCTGCTYAMGTCGATATGMCYCAATTTGTCTAAAATTTTCTCAAAAACTTAAGAATACTAGTTGTACAAAGACATGGCTCATTCTGAATGATCTTCGACCTCGCTCCAWAATCAAGGTGATTGTCATTCATTTTTCCATATTCGTGGCTTGGTGCAACATRAATTTATTCCGGAGGAACAGACGGTCAATTAAGAATTCTATTGRCCGTATTGAGGTGTTTGCGTAAGAACATCTGGCAAAAACGGTCTGAATTGTGGAAGACCAATTCATGGATATTACACTATTGCATCTAGCAACGATTGTGAACGAATTTAAAGCCTAAAACGCAATGAATACCATCGATCAACCACCGTATTCACCAGAGTTGGTTCCGTGTGGTTTTTTCTTGTTTCCTACACTGAAAATGCCGCTACGTGGAACCCGTTTTCAGTTGATCGAAGTGATGAAACAAAATTCGTTGGAGGAGCTGAAGGCCATCCTAAAAAGTGCTTATGAAAAGTATTTCGAGGACTGAAAAACTCGTTAGCAGAAGTGCATTACATCTGGTGGAGATTACTTTGATGGTGACAAAATAACTCTTGGTGAATAATTACATATTTTTGCGTTTTAATTATAACTTCCGGGTACATTTTTGTCACAATGTATACTATTTTTACTATTTTAGTAAAAGACTCCTTTGATTTTCATATGATAGACTACAATTTTATTCAAGTTTTCAATAGAATTCCGTAACTGCATATTCATTTTAATTCAATATATATGTATATACATATATATGTATGTAAGTGTGTTTATTACATTTTCAATATATTTAAGTATAATAATGAAAACTATTAATATTAATTGAGCTAAAAACATTAGTCTCTATAAGTTTACACTAAACTACAATTTTAGTTTATAATTAATTTTAATTAAAGTACTTCGAAAATTTGTCAAAACTACTAATATACCGGTATGTATATGTATGTATCATATTGTTTGTAAATAGAAATGTATTGTATGTAAATAAAAAAAGTACAATAGAGACCACAGCAGTTAGTTTGAATACACTTCAGTAGAGGTTGGGAAGGACACGTTGTGTAATAGTTTATGAATTTAAGTAAAAAGTCGAAAAGATCACATTTTAGTAGAGAGTTTTTACCACAAAATATATACACATATACATAGTTTGTTATTGCAGAGATGAGATACGATGGTATCCCTAAAATATTGTTTTTTTCTTTTTGGTTTTTTTTTTGTTTGACGATAGTTTATAACCCATCAAGTTTAATGTATGTATGTTTAATATGTATGTCTGTATGTAGCGTTTTGATTATTGAACAAGAAATTGTGTGGGTGTGCAACAAGTCAGCGTGCGCCCATAAAATATATGTACATATGTATATTACAAGTGTTTAGGTATAAAATAAAAAAAAGTGTCAGTAAATGTATAAATAATTCGCAAWAACGATCGAGACCAAGGAGAATAAGTAGGCAATTGACGATAATAATAGATTGCAATTTTAAACTAAACTAAATAATGCACAGCTGACAGAAAATATGTAAACATTATGCTTATATGTAGAGCGGATCTAAGATTCGTATTAGTTTGCATGTAGTATATACTACATATATATGTACATACACACATGCATGCGATTCGAGGAGTTAATGTATGCACATTTTGGGTTTTTTGGCGAAAATGCATAAGAAAGCCAAACATTTTACACTACAATTACASACACATACACACAACTATGAATAATACATACATAAAATTATTCATATATTTTACAAACATTTGTTTGCWTTCGAGTTAATACTATTTTCGAAACTTGTTTTTGATGTCTTACGCTTTCTATACAGCTACGCTGATTGCTGCGCTTGCACTTAATGACTAACACTAGAGCCGAACCTCGAGAGATTTTGTGAAAAACCAATAAAAAAAAATTAAAATAAAATTCAAAAAGCGAAACCTTAACAAATGCATACATTAACATTTCCACTTTGTTTGTTATTGCTTAAACTGTTACACCACTCATACACCGCTAACTGTTGCTGACACAGATCAAGACAAACTGTTCGCATCGCGCAACTGATAACACGCCAATAGATTGCTCGGCGCTGTATTGAGCAATCCTAAGCGTTGCTTTTGTTTACGCTGCTCCGTCATGTGATCCTTCAGTTCATGCAACTGCTGCGACAAGCTTGTTATGAGCAAT